CATATGAATTATTCACAAAACATTGAATTTACTGTAAACAGACGATTTTCAGCTGCACGCTCTCAACCAAAGTTTTTTTGCTGAATTTTTCTGTACTCAGTTCATCAAACAAGAGACTTAAATTGGTAAAACCATAAATGCAAGTAGTTTTCATTCCTTATCCATCTCAAAACTCTCAGTGTCATGCAGTTCTGGTTTCGGTTTGTTTTATCTAAGTTTCAGTTTCAAGCTTTGAATTTATCCATATTTGCACCAACTTTCAATTGTTTTAGCAATTATCTCATAGATTTTTATATGTAGTTATCACAGTTTTGTGAGCTAGTCTTATTTTAGGAATAAATATTTGGACAATCGTGTACTAAAATAGTTGTTATATGGCTTAAAGTAAATGCATGGACTGCAATTGTTTCACTTTGAAGTCTTTGGCGAAACTTTGTTAATTTTAATTTTTTAGTTTTCGTTAATATCGTGATGTGTTGCATCAAGAAACAAATACCGGTAAACATGTGCTTCAAGATTGAGTTCCGTTGAAAATTTGGCTACAAACTTGAATTTTTCCATCGATTTTGAGAAAGTTTTCAAACTTTTCAGCTTGAATTTGCCATCTCTTCGGAATCTCTCCTTCATTTCAGGTTTGCATTTTAAATATTTATTAGCAGACAGTTGTAGTACGCGGTATGAGATAAGAGGAGAAGGAATTTTTAGATTAGACCGTTTCGGTCAGTTCCATTCCTTATATGTTATGCAGCAGCGAGAAGTGTGAAATAAGGCGTTATCAAATCACTTTTCTAGTACGGGTAATGAGTTAGTTTGCTTTTAAGTATTCATACTTTAGTCGTAAATGTAGTTTTGATGTTCCAAAAAAGAAATAGTGCAAGCAATACTTAAAGATGCATCATATGCGTTGGTTTCATTGCAATGTTAGTTCATGGCATAACTTGGCCTTTCCAGCAAACATTTACAGTAAACGCAACTGAATATATTGCACAGAGAACATAAAGATTTTTATTGATAACTAAGCAAAGCAAATTTTTTCGATGAGATGGGTTACTTTAGTTCATTCAGTTCAAGGCTTTTCTCGAGTCTATTTTTTTCATAACATCTTCAATTTATTGAATAGTATTCTATTGTTTTCATTGTATTGCATTTTTTGTATACATTCATCAAGTATTTGCTTTGTAATGATAAAGTATTCAACATTGCGCTTTACATACAAAACCGAATTCACAATACACAACAGCATCAGAGTAAAGGACCATCAAATTGTGAGTATCCATTTAGTGAGTGATGTGTTGAGATAAGATATTGCACGCTGAAACATTTGAGGAAACAAGACTCCCACACTCATATCTGTTCATTTGTTTCTCACTTCTTGCAAACCAGTGATTGAAGTTAAAATTGATAACGACATCATTTAAAAACTTATCAGTCAATTGCTGCGGTACCATTGGCGGGTTTTTTTTTTTAATATCCTAGGATTACCAACATGATTTGTTCTAAATTACATTGAAATTGGGACATTCAAAGAGTACATAAACAGGCAGCACACATAAAAGTCACTATGCGAAAGTATGCATCTACGATGACTGATTTCGTTCTTTTGCCATGCAAATATTGCGATTGCTTGTAAAGTAAGTGAGTAAGTAAACGATTGTTTGAAAGCATGAAATTGATATGAGTCCGAAGTAAATAAAGTGATTCAAAACGACGAAAGCCTGTTGATAGAAGAGAACTGGTGCACTTGACAGTACTAGGCATAGAACGAGTGGCTTTATATTTTCAGACATCAAGTAGTTGTATCCATGTCGTATACCCAATTTTCATCTCGAAATACTCTGGCTTCTGACGCTTTAATGATCACAATATCTGATATTGACAGTTACAGTATATCAATATTTTAAAGAAATTACTACCATTCAATGCCACAAATAAACAACGCTGAATTTATTGTAAAATTACTGCAATGATAATTTATGTTTATGTTACCATATGCATATATTCCATGGCACAGCAGTGGTACGTGAGACTAATAGCAATTGAAAGCAGTAGTTAATAGCTTTTAACAGATATATTCCAATTATCATCATCGTAGTAATTACGAATATTCAAGACATCACGAGATATTTATGTCACGCATGTAGTTTCTGCAGCAACCTGGCTTGACTGAATGAATAAACTGACCTGAAAAATGCGCGGAAAAAAAATAGATCAAAACATATGAAAATAAGAAATAAATTAAACGCATTTTTGCATCGACTATATTTATGTAAGTTTCAAAAGTAAATAGCAATACAGAGTATTGTCCTGTCGGGATCAATTAATTAAAGTTTTCAAATTGCTTGATTTTTCTGTGTATTCTTCCCGAATGTCTTGGATTTAATGGATATATGCATTTGATAATGCTGAGCAGAAGGTATACTGAGCACAGAGACATGTAGAAAAATCCACATTCTGAAAGGAAATCATTACGTATCTCAAATAGCACTGTTTTTAATATCACGTTTTTTTTTCTGTCTGAACATAAATGCATGTTAAGCCTTCGCTCATCATCTTTGCGCTGTACGTGCAGCGTAATAATTTTTAAATGAATATTAAAGGTATAAAGTGTTATGTTTTTAATTAAAAATGTGCAATTGTACTCCAACTGAGGCTTCTTTATTGATATTTCGTTCATAGATTGATTCACAGATATTTTAATGGCTGACGAAGAGGCGCAGATTCCAGGCATTCTTATTGTCCTGGCATACTTGGAGGGCAATTCTCTCATGCACCTTGCCCTCCAAAAATTCCTTGTCGAAATTATGGAGGTAAATTTTAATGCTTTTTTCTGCATTATGATCACATTATACGCATTATAATTTTTTTGCATTGAACAAACGTTGAGATTATGCATACATTTCAATAAAATGCAAATATGCTGCTTATTATTTCATGCAAATTTTTCAGCAAGAACTCCTCGAGCGGTTCGCATTTTGTGAAGTAGCCACGGAAGAAGAGGAGGATGAGGCGTTGAAGTCGGCATTTGCGGAGCTGACGATAAATGAGGAAGAGGCGGGTTGGGCCCCTCTTCCTGACGAAGATGGCGAGTGGATGCTCGAGGAGAAGCATCCAGAACTTGTCGAGGAAAACTCCGCAATGCCGACTTCCTCAATGAAAGTCGATGAGAACGCAGAACCTGAGCAAAGTGTGCTAGAATTAGTCCGGTATTTTTTTAATAAAAATTTTAAGTAATTTTAGTATGAATATTTAAATAGTTTATATTTTGATAATGCATGTGAGTTATTTTTATGAAATAAATCTGTACTACGTTACAGAAGAACTAGGACGATAATGATTTCGGTTTCTGCGACATCAGAAGCCGTAGGCGAAGAGATGGCACCGGAGGCCTTCCGAGTTGGGACTGTGGGAGGTCTCCAAGAGCGATTTAGACAAAAATTAAGAGAGCCCGAGAACAACGCCTAAGAGGTGATAAGGAATGGAAACCAGAGTTCCATCAGTAAGTTAAATATGCAGAAGCAAGGTTCAAATTTTTTTAAATTATGCAAATGAAAATCCAAAGAAACTAACATTAAATCTCTTAAACTCCAATGCTGCTAGTTACTCTTTTTAAGCAAATGCATTTCTGGCAATAAATGAAGCTTCTTATACAGTTTTTGACCTTTAAATGAAAGGCATGAGTTAGTGCTAGTCTTTATAAGCTTTGCTGAATAGAATAAATCAGTTCTTTCCTTTTACATGACCGTTCTTCAATACACACTTTTCTTACTTTCCTGATTTATTCTTCCAAATTTAAACACTTAAAAGACGATAAAAAGAATCACTCACATAAATATATTTACAAAATTAAACACATTACAGACACGCTAAAGCTTAGGAATGCATGTGGTCAGACTAGGAGGTTCGCGATCGCATTTTGCACTCACTTTCTGTCTGATGCCTCATCGTTGCGGCTGATTAATCCTCTGACAAGTTTTATCTAAAATGTTGATGCAAATTGTAGGCTGCTCTCAAGTGTGTAGCATGAGCTGTTTATATTTATACTGTTATGTGAACGAAATGGGAACTGTCATACTTGATGTAAATCCCTCTTAAATGTATTAAAATTTCAATTAAAAGGCCGACAAAGCAGTCTTCAACTGTAGCAGGCACTTTAAAATGAAAACCATGTCCGAAATGTGGTTTTCAAATTACTGTAACGTGTGAAGCCGTCATGAATGCAAGAATAATTATCATTACTTAAAAAACTAATAGTAAGTTGGTAAGTTTGTCAGAGAAATATGGATGAGTTCCCTGAATTATTTCAAATTAAAATCGTCATTTGAGCATTTACCAGCACTAATTTTTCTTCTTGGATTCTTTCAAGAAATTCCTTCGTCTGCTTATGCATTATTTTCTCCCTTTCCAACTCCATAAGAGTATTATTTAACTAAAAAGCAAATATATATCAGGTTTGAAGGTTATTTTTTCTGAAGACTCTTACCTTTGTTATAATTATAACTTGCAGCTAAAAGACTGAATGACAAAACTATGTAAAAGTAAATGTGCTTAAGCTGCAGATCCTGAATGCAAAACTTAATACAACTAATTAAACCAATTTATTGAAGTATAATATTTTTATGAAACTGATTCTGAATAAAGAGTTATGTAAACTCAGATGTCAGCAAGCAAGTAAATTTGCATAGTTCAACAAGTTTTGTTTGATAAAACCATCTATGAAAATATGAAAGTGTTCAGAAAGCAGTATTAAAAGAAGGCAGAAGTGAGTACCTCCTCTATTAAATTATTGTAATCAGCCATATCCCGCGAATCGTTCGAGCTGCTACTTTCCGTATATGAATCTGACGTACTTTTGCTATCCTCATCATCGTGAAAGTAAAATGACGAAAATATTTCATCAAGTTTTGTTGGCTTACGGCACTCGGGACATGTTTCTTGTTCCTTAAATATGTATACATTTTAAGAAGCAAAAGTTTATTTTTCATCGAGAAATTAAAATCTGACTTCGGTCTTTTTGGAAGCTAAAATTAGATAAACTATCTTCCTGTATAATTTGTTTTGCTCTCATTTTTACACTTGTTCGTGATGTAATTGCATAATATGATGCATACTTCGTGAAATTAACTTTTTATCAAAAATATAAGCCACTTTAAGCATTTCGTTTTAAGATCTAACTACACATTTTATGTAACGATATATTTATGACACAGCTTATAGCTTTTGTTAAGTACTTAAGATGCAGACTTTTATAAAATATTTGATTTGATAAAATTTTGGTACCAAACATTGTTTCTATGCTTTTCAATTTTTTATCTCAAACCAGCATTTCTGACAAGTAATTAGCAAGCATAATTATTTATTAATATCACATGCAATTGTAAGCCAAAGGTCCCAATATTTAAAAAAACTAGAATTGAAACATTGTTTAATTTTTTAATTTGGTCCATCTTCATACTTTTATATACCACTATCTTAGTCCAGTGATTGTCAAACGTGAAATATAATTAGGTCAGAAAGATATAGTAAATATGACGTGAGCGATTTATTATTAAAGAAAGTACGATAAATTTAAATTTAAGGCATTCAGTAGCTTACATTTAACCAGTATTTGATACATTTCAAATGAAATACATGCCCACACCGAAGAGCGCTCATATCCTTCACGCCTATTTTTTCCAAACATATTGAGCATAATCTAGAAATGATATTGTTTGTTGTTGGGTATTGCTGTCAGTCTAATTAACTTTTAATATCTTTAAACTGAAATCAAAGTTTAAACACCAAATAAAAGCAATCTATTGCTTGTTTCGACGCTTTTTTCAAAACTGTTTACAGCTTAAATTAATATAGACAATTTTCAACCCTTTTAATTTTTGACGTCGTAGTATTTGTCCCATTATTTGTAAGCACAATCTTCTCCTGAAGCAAAAAGTTGACAAATGGAGACTAGTCTCTAAAAAACAAAATATTAGAATTTTAATAAGTTCTTGTTCTAAAACTTACAGCTTTTATCAAAGAAAAAAAAACGATAGGACAAAACGTTTTAAAGCAAAACAGTAATCGAACATGTAATGATCTATTTTTTATCAAAATAAAGTTACAAAGCTATTCATCCTTGGATTTGTAATGTAGGAGCACTTTATATTCCTGCACAGAAACAGAAATGAATATTTAAGTAGATCTTTGGATGATCTATTCAATGTAAAAGATCATTTTGCGCGAGGTGAAAATTAAGTCGAACTATGTAGTGTTAACAAAATATTTGAAGAAGGATATCAAGGATTTGCCCGCGCAATGTTACAGTCTTTTCATTAAGTATTTCTCATGCAAACACTTGCAGTCTAAATACATGTTTTAAATATACGATCAAATACGATCTGGACATATACACCGCAAGAAATTAACGCACACAAGAAAAAAAGATGAGCGAACAAGCATTTTTTGGTGTTGTGATAGTTTAAAGTGAAATTTGTGATTGCAGTTGCGAAAATCAAAAATAACACAATTGTTTTGTATTGAGAATTGAGGCAAGAATTACAAATTTTCTTCTATTGTCACGATAATTTACCTTAGTCTTCATTCGATCCAGATCAAAAGTGAACATGCTTAATTTCCTGATAGAATATTGACATCCACAAATATAACAACAAATCTGCACATTCCAATTCAGAAATGGAAATGCAAACGGATTTACAAAAATAAAATATGTAAGAGTTCAAGCACAATTTGGATGCATTATGGATGTTACAAGAAATATAAATAAATTTCGAACGATAATTTTAAATAATATAAAATAGCAATGGTAACATTAAACAACACTCAACCTTTTCCATAACAGTCTATCAAACTTTAATGCTTTTTCCTCACAACAATTTAAAAAACAATTCGTTTTCAGTCAGCAGTTAATGTGTTGCATTCACGTATAAGAGTTGAATGTTAAGATTAAAGTAAGCTTTACTCTCTATAAGTATTTTGCAAGAATACTCATACTTTCCGCTTTCGCCATCATTTCAAATACAGATGCACTTGATATTACGCTAGCTGTAATCTTAACATTCAACTTTTAGGATGGATTAGTCTTTGTAAAGCGTCACACAAAGATTTCAACAGGTTATGTAGTCTTCTGTGTATCACATTTCAAATTTTAAAACAAAGAAACGGAAAAACATTGATTGTCATGTGTTCTCAAAACGACAATTATCGTTTTTGAGCGTCCGGAATAATCTTAAGAATATGTCTCAAGATCTTGCAAAACAATCTGTCTTGAAAAAAATTGTTCAGACAATTTACTCGATTGAATGAAAAACTAAATGACAACTACCACTGGAAAAATCACAAGACAATCTCATTCACTTTCTGCTTCCTGCACTCAGTTTCCACAATTTTTGTGGAGGTGACGGGCAAACAAGGTTTAGTCGTTTCCCCCTACTGCCAGTATATTTTTTACGGACTTCTGATGGCAGAATTATTAGCGGGTTTAAGTAAACAATACCACCCTGCCACTAATAAGTGGCTTGCATTCACGGCTTCTTCATGCATCAACAGTGCAAATTTATTTTCGAGTATGATGACTTGTGATCTGTGAGAAATTTTCTCCATTGCTAGTGATATCAAAAGCAGTACGCGTGCTTCCAACCGATTTCTCCAATTGCAAGTTACGAACTTCTGATATATAATTCTGCCTGGAAATGAGATTTATATTCCAAAAGCTTCAGCTCTGAAATTCTTTCCAATTCAGAATTATCTAACGATTTATTAGTAAAAAGTTAAATATTGTGCAATAACATAAATATAAATAATGTATATTCTAGTAATATTCCAAAATCTAGCACTGATCTTTCTTTACTGCAAGCTGTGCAACCTTTCTTTACTGTAAGCTGTGCAATTTTACTAATTAGGATCATCACTTAAATTTTTACAATTACTGCTACTGCCATTTCAACCATTTCGAATACAAGTGTTTTCACTGCGTCCATCCTACAATATTCCATAAAAAAACACTGAATTTTTTATCCATTCTGCTTTGCACTAGTTATAACTCAAATTCCTGTTAATAACTATTGACATTTTATTCACTTCTTTTGTAATCCTTCAACAATTAAACCTTACACCACAGCATTTAGCACCAGGCAGCTGTAATAACTGATCTGTAACCATCTCGAGAAGGTTCTCAAGCAAAAAACGTGAGGTTGATGTATGATGACAGGGCATCTACTAATTCGATACTATATTGATAATATTTGCGCTTTCTATTATTAACATATTAAACTCTTCACAATATAAATCTGAAATACTTATTTATTTAAAACACTTTTATAAGTGCCATTTTTAGATTACTGCTGAATATTGGAATAGGTAATGTATTATATTATTATACTACTGTGTAGAGGGTTTTGGTATTTTTTGTCAAGAAGACTGCTATACTCTTATTTGTTCACAATTATATTTGCATTTTAATGAATCTCAAAAGTTCCATGTGCAAATATCCCACTCTAATGCCCTGATACCGTAAATGGAAGCAAAAAGCACCCAATTCAATATAGTATTTTGAAACTTTAAACACTTGAAAATTATCAACAATTACGCTAAAATAGAAAAACTCATTAAAAAAACTAAAAAACCTGATGAACTTTGAAAACTCCAATCAACTAATTAAATATCAAACAGCAATATACTATCGTATGTGCTGAAGTACCAATTGTAAGAACTGGCAACTGTAGAAAGAGATGAAAACTAGTTCCACACTGAATCATTTCTTTATCATCATATTATATATCATTATCATGCAGAAATAATTTTTTGTCCTTTTTGATTCACTTCGAAATAAAACACTTTATATGCAATTTAACCTTTTACCTACTTTTTTAAGTTTGGATAAATTTCTATATCTGTAGAGCGATAGATCAAATCAAAAATTCAATAGCTAAACAATTTCTTCAAGTGTTTCTTTTACCTGAATTTTGTCTTCTGTTTTCGAAAAAGTTTGATATCAAATATATTATTCAAATGTTTCCTGAAATTATATCTGAAAGTCTTCTTGCTAAGTCCGAAGTCCTCAATTAACAATTATATATCATTGAATGAACAATTAAAAAATTGATTAAAATTAATTCAATAATATCACCAGAGAGAAAAATTCGTTATGAGAGTAGCATTTCTTATGCTACTTTCTCATGCATATATAATTTCGATTTATATTTGTAGAAGTCGATTACTACCACTTTTACTTAGTAGCTCGTTATTTATTTATTTTAATTTAAGAATTATGTAACGTCATAGATCACTTTAATCAAGTCGCAAGTAACTAATCTAATCAAATAGTCAAAAGATATCTCATTATGATCGTGAACTTCACAATACTTGAAGTAAGCTACTACAAAATTGCTTTTCTCCTGTACTCTAAATAGCTAATGATGGTTATCAAAACTACTCGTCAAAGATTTAAATACAATTCTATCATCCCCACTAACAGTTTATATTTCTATCATTCAACGTTCACCATATAGGTATGAATTTATGATTTAACCTTTTACTTACTTTTTCAAGTTTGGATAAATTTTTGTATTTGCAGACCAACGGTCAAAGTCACCTCAATACGCTTTTTTATTCGTAGTGAAAACTAGAGAACAGTGCCCAGAGTGATATATATATACTTGTAGTATGTCATCTCTCGACACTGGACTGGTCATACGATGAAATTTATTGATCAGCGCATTCAACGAGTCGATATATATGTATGTGTATGTGTGTGAGTGGACGAATGGCAAAAAGAGTTGAGGGAATGATAAATGCTTTGCTGGTACAATAAATATATTTATGAAAACCAAACGATGGCATAGTAGTGGCAATGGTGCAGCGATGCTCTGAGCATTGTGCACTCTTTCGACGAGTACTTCTTTGTACTTCTTGTATATCAAAGGCTTACAATTCAAACATTTTTTTGATTGATTACCTTCGCTAATTTCATCTTTTTTTTAAACTCACGTGCTACCCTTACGTTTCATAGCATGTCCACGTTTCCACTTATATTCCGTCTTTATCAGAAGTTATATGTCTACATGTGTGTATGCATCGTTGCGTATTTCATTTTCATTACATATTAAAGGAATTATCTGTTAACAGTACCTTAACAGTTGACAGTCTTCGATTTCGTGGCAGTAAAACTGTAATCTTATCATTTTCGAGCTCAGATCCAACATTTAATGAATTTTTTATTCCATTCAAAGAATAAGTACTGCAGAAAAATCACTTAAAAATGCAAATTGTATGTTACATTGTTTTCAAATTCGGTCTAAGAAAACATAGTAATATGCTCTGCATTACGATATGATTTATTAGTAAGTTAATATGCTTATAAGAATAAGTCGAAAATTGATTGCAATATGAAAGCACATTTCATTGCAGTACAAATTAAGTTGTCTTCTAATAGAAATAGAAGAAAGAGATGAGTTTAAGGAATGCCCGTTTTTCTGAATAGTTTAATTTAAGATGAAACCGGAGATTAGCGCTTTTGGAAGAATATTTAGCTGCTTAAATATGTTTGCCTTTGCTATTTAGAAGATAACTGCACTAATTATTTGAAATTTCCTGATGATCAGTCGTTCAGCTGAATTCTTCGAGAAGAAAGTATCGAGTGAAGAAGGTATTTTCCTGTTTCGCTCATCCAAAGCAACAATGAAACGAGAAGTGAGAAATAGTGACACATATCGTCAGCTTCCCTTCTCTTTCTACTTCACTTTAATGAATTTTCTAAATTTAAAACCTTAATGACTGATGCAGTAATAAAAGCTGTAAAATTTTGAGCTTTTTTAGTTCTGGTAAAAATTAAATTCAAAAAGTTCCACTAGCAGTTGAAAGAAAGAAAGTTAAGTTAAAAGTTTTCAATACATCACTTTGAAGAAAATAGTAATGTAATCGCTCGCAGGTTTTAGTTTGTTTTTTGGCAAGAATACTCACAAAATGATCTGTACAATAAAGTACTGCAAAATATGTACTTGTTTCCTTTCCAGTTGAATTACTGGAAGACTTACTGAATGTGTTTTTCATATCTTGTGCAAAATATGTATCTTGTTTGTGTATATTCTAGAAATTTGATTGATTTTAACAACTTTTAAAAGAATTTATCAAAATGATTGGTACAAAGTTTTTGGTACCCTGGTAACTTTGGTAACTTTTTAAAGTTAATTTTGTTAGGCAAAAAGTAATTCCTAAAAACTACGGCATAAATTTGCTGTTGTCATGACGCTTGCGAGTTGTTTCTATTATTCTGCTCGTTTAATTCTTTGAATCGCTCAAAACATTCATTTTTCATCACAATATGATAATACTACAATAATATGCTTATACATATATAGCAAAAAATACTGAATTTCGTTTTCAGACTATCCGAATAATATCAATTTTATTTGTAGCATTCATAATTATGAAAAGCAAAGATAAATTTAGAATTCTAGTAGTCAATATGATAGTCATATCACTTGAAGACTGATGCAGTAATAAAAGCTGTAAAATTTTGAGCTTTTTAATTTTGATAAATTAATTCTGATGTATTCTATGAAAAATTAATTAATAATTATATTTAGTGCAAAGTTAGTTTGCATCACACCATATTGTAGATTCTCGTTTTATTGCTTTACTAATATGTGTGCTTGTTTAGTCACAAAATATTATTTATTTACTGTAAAAAATGTCATGGGAAAAAGCAAAAAATTTCAGAATTCTGTCGCTGCAGGAGGTGCTATGACAGTGCTTCCTGTTGAAATACCATTACTTTTTTTCATCGTGTTTACTTCTGCCAATTTTATCCATTTTATTTATGAATTTTCGCTTTTCTTAGCAAAATTTATTTATTTTCAAATTAAACTACAGTATTACTTTCACTGTCGCCTATTTATCACACTAAAATGAAATTATGTAAGCACTAACTACACTTCCATTTCATCAAGCATACTTAATCCACTACAGTATTATTCATTTGTTTTTTTGTGTTTGTTACCTTCCATATTTTCCTCATTAATATTTAAGATTGTTCTATAAATATTATCTGCCATGATTCTTGATTGAAATACGCATTAACAAAACTTTTGCAATCAACCACATTATTATAAGTTAAAAAAACCACTTCATTCGTAAAGTATAAAAGTTAATTACAGTATTACATTGTGAAGTAATTATTTTAAATGTGAAATTATTCGATTTTAATGTGATTAAATAATTCTATACTTATATTATGAAGTACTGCAAATGTTACTGTATTAATTTAAGGATATAATTCAGGTCAATATTTTGATATTTCAAGTATGTTAAAATTTTGAATTATTAAGGAAATGTATTCATTCTTGATTGTTTACTATTGCTGTTGAAGAATTGTTTGTTTTATTGCTGATCAGATCTGAAATTAAAAACACAAAAAATTGCATATTCTCCTTTAAGCTTTTTTTCTGTTTCATTGTGTACATGCTACTAATTTTGTAAGACTCAAGATTTAAAATTTCAGAAAATCATGCGTATAGAATCGAAGAATACATAGTGCTAAGTCTACATCAAATTTTTAAAGTTACCACAAAATTAATTTAGACATATTTTAATTTTTAATTATTTTACCGCGGATTTATCGTCATTTGTTGCAGTAATTACGTGAAAATGACGGTCTTTACACTTACGCTTCTTTTGCCTGGCATTTATTTCTTTTATTGCCTTAATGCATCACATTATATTTTCAAAACTACCTTTATTAAATGTGTTTTTCTTGGTAAGAAGAGTTTGAATTTGTTTAAAGACATTTGCTCCTTTTTTTAAGAAACCATGAATAAAATTTTATTACTGTTCCAGTTGATAAATAACATTAATTGATCTTACTCTAAGAAAATAAATTAATTTTTTGAAATAAAAATAAGGCACTTAAGGATTTATCTCGTCATCTAATGACTGTAAATGATGTGTGAACATAACTGGGCAAAAATTATTACTCATTTTTATACTTTTCAAATTTTGTATCTTTTTTGATCGCTTTTGTCGTCTGCTAAAAATTTGAAACAATGCATGCAAATTATTATTTCAGTTTTGCAGAATAAAATTTTTGCTTGTAAAAATATTTATGTTTAAAATGAAATAATTGTCTAATAACATATATAAGGGTCTTAATACATTTCCAATTTTAAATTTTTACTGATTTCAGGTCGTAAAATCATTTCAGTTCACTGAATATTTGGTGAACGCATTTATCACAAACAAATGTTTCATATTTGACGGTTCATTGACTAACTAATATATAATTTTTTTTAACTTTAAGAAGGGATTCGAGATGGAAAATTCTCTATTACTGTATGAAACAAATTATCTGAAGAGTAATCTGAAGCTATCCGTACATTTCATATGATCAGTTTTACTAGAAAAAGCAACAATCTTTGCAGGAATATTTATTTGCTTGAGAAAAATAATTAATTTTTGAATTGATTTGGAATTGTAGTTCTATCTGTCATTATTAGTATTATGAAGTTGCTGTTTACGATATAATTGTTAGTGCAGTGAAAATTACAGATTATGAATTTTTTTACTTTCCACGTAATACTTCTCTATGTAACGTCAAAAAACTTCTTCATTCTGCCAGAGAGGTGTTTGATTTTAGTCGAATTTAAAGTTTTAGATTTTCGGACGACTATGATTACTTCGGTATTCATATTGTTTGCGATAAGCTTAATCACTACAAATGCAAGTTCAGAAAGTTCGGAAGATATCAAGATTTTTGAGCTAAAGTAAGTTAAATTTTGCTGTACAAGTATGACTTTTTAAAAAAAAAAATCTGAATTCTATTCAAAATTAGCAAAAAACAAGCGAAACTTTAATGAAAATATGCTGTAATTGAGAGTTTTCATAAGAAAGGAAGTAATTTTCAGTTCATTTGCACAATTAACTTTGTTAAATTTGTCACAATTAACTTTACAAATTTGCAGAAACTTCTAAAATTATTAAGTAATTGCAGAAGTTTTGAAATTTTTTGAATGCGAAATCAGTCAAGATTTCAATTAATTTATCAATTTTCTGAATACAAAAATATAAGAAATCAATTACAAAAAACATACCCTGAAGTAGAGAAAAGTAGCCCAAAATATGTTGAACATGTCGTGAACTTTTACTTGGCAAATTCAAAAAAAGCTGCCATCACCAGCAACTACTTCTCTAACAATTTGAATTTTCATTGAGAAAAGTAAGACAGTTTTGTATTACAGTAAATTATAGTTTCTTTTCTGAAATAATTTATAAGAAATCATAATTTTTCAAGTTCGTGAAAAATGAATCAGTTTTCTTCTTTCGTTCATTTCCTTTCGTAGGTATGCATTACTTTTTACCTTTCCTCTTCCCTTGTACCCATATTACTGAGAGATATTTAATGACTTTTTTTATTACATTTGTCGTTTTTTCGGCGAATATCAGAAACAAAAACTTTTTGTGCTAGTTTAAGTTTTTTGGTAGAAAAACCTTCAAACTAACCAGTTACAACTACATAAAACGGTAGTAGTACTAGTAGTAGTAGTAGTAGTAGTGGTAGTAACTGTTGTTATAGTAATAGTAATGGCATACAGAACTGCAGATATTTTGGCTCGCTTTATTAGGTTGGAAATTTTTTGAGATTTCAATTATTTACTCTTACTTTTGTAAATTCATATTAATATAATTGTAAAAATGATCTATTCTCAGTATCATTAATAACTATCCTTTATGCTGTAAATTTTAAATTATTAGTTGTTTGTTCTTGGAATCACTTTTGAAATTATGATTTTTTACTTACGATTAAAGTACTTTAATCAATTAGCCTCAAAAAAGAAAAAGGATTCACTAGCTAATTGAGATGTAATGATGATGAATATAATTGCTGAATGAATTTTTTCTATTTTTTCTACAGGAAAAGTGCCTTAGCCTGTCCAATAATTGTCGTTGGCGAATCATGCCCTCAAGAAACAGCTTTGTATTATTTTAGATGTTGTGGTGATCTGAATAGTTCGTGTTGTTTCACTCTTCAGGTAAACTTTTACTGCTCAGTCATTTTCTACTTTATGAGTTTATAATTATAAATTGAGCTCAAAGCTTTTCATTTTAACCATCAAATTATATTTATGAATAAAATATTGAAACAAATATTGTAAACAGCTTAAAAAATTTTTAAATTACCAAAAATTAATTGTCTATAATTGATCGTCTAATCGCATTGCAATAATTTTTAATATTGTTCTTGAATTTGGACATGCATTATGAAAGATGAATTATGAGGTAATTAATTTTTAGTAATTTATTTGTTGTGTACTAATTCACACTATAATTCATGCTGCGAAAGACAATATTTATGTATAAGTTCATTTTCAGTCTAAGACTGCCTTTTGTACTTATCTGTTTATTATGTTTGTCATTGGATATTTAAGTTCAATTAAAATTTATGATGAATTTTATGTTATAATTCAAGTCTTAAATATTTGTTTTTTTCAGGAATGGGTCGTTGTACTGATAGTTATTTTCGGCGTTTTGATTATAATTAGTTTGATGATTAACTTCATTAGGTGTTTACTGTGTGTATGATAATTTACCTGATTTCATTCTCAGAGTGAATTCAATTTATTTTGTTTACTTCTTGATTATCGTTGCCTTTATTTGATTCACTTATTGTAATGTTTGCATATATTTTTACTGAGCAATATATGTGTATATCTGCAGTGAAAAATTTGCATTTAAAAGTTGTAAATTTTTATTGTTCATTATTAAGTCTTTTTATTATATATAACATCAGACGACGTGAAAGAGTCTTTGCAATTTCAGTAATTTTTAAAATTTATTGCCCAAAAAACTATTTGAAGTTAACTTTTCAAATTGTTAGTGTTTGAAATTGGAAATTAAATTAAATGAAAAAGGAATGAATTTGATACAAAAAACTAATCATTGTTTCATGCTACTTTAATTCCTAACAGTAGGTTATAAATTTCATTTTTAATTTCTATACGTGGATACTTTTGATAATTATATACAGATATTATTTTTCAAGTTGCTTCATTTTAGATTCATTCCCTTTCATCACAAGTTCAAAAGCTTTGTCAGGCGTAGACTTCTAAACTATCAAAATAACATATTGTACATATTTTCAAAGTTGTAGTCAGTAGTACCAAAACTTTATCCAAAATGCTGAACCCAACAATTTCTTTTGCTTTATTTTTCAGAAACATCATTCTTCCTTTTGAAGTAAAGCAAGTAAAAATATAAAATTGGTTTGAGCTCTCGATTCTCTAAAATATCTCGTTCCAGTTTTTTTACACACAGCAAAAGATGTCTGAAAATTTAACTTCACGTCGATGGATAAGGTTTTGTTTAGTCTTTCTACGTGTTATGCGCTTCATACTTTGCGATGTTTTAGGTTCTGCATATCGAATTTCTGAAGAAACTAATGAAAATGTATGCATAATTTGCTAAAACAATTATATTCAGTGGTTAAAATGGATTTTTACTTGAAAGTTGCCATTATTTTGCTGATAAAATATCATATTTTATGGGCCATAGAGTGTTTTTCTGACTAATATCTCATTAAATCAAAAGCATGAATTTTCGGTGCTAATCAATCATCTGCAAAAGAATTATTTTTAAAGATGAATACAAAATAGAAAATTCAATGTTTGGTATAATTGAAGCAAATTTTAAATTTCATAAACAGAAGTATCACTTTTAGTTGATAAGTATGTAGACTTCTGAATTAGATGTCACAAATTTTCGTTGTGTATTTGACATCTTTCATTCTGTGCTTGATGTCTGCGATTGAGCAACTCTAACTGATATCAGTCAGAGTTTTTGAAATGACATAAATCTTTTTTTTCTAGACAAAAAAGTTACACAAAGTTGATTCTCTGAGTTCGATTTGAAATCAAGAACGTGAAAATTTAACCAAGTATATTGCAACGTTTGGCCTTTCTTTAAAATTAATCATACAGTCTAGTAATTAATTAATGTAGTAGCGTTCTCCAACTTCATAATACTCTACAAGCTGAAATGTGAAATTTTAATCAGTTCAATTTATGTGCAAATAAGAAAACAGGCCAGAAAACTTTTAACAGAAATTTGCGACTTAGAATTACATCTTGGGAATTTTACCTATAAGCATCAACCAACATTCAACAACATATATCAGAACTAATCTTGAGCTCCTCATCTTCCAATCACAATAGTACTTCTTTCCTACCAATTTTCAGCGCCCTCGAAGAAAGTGATATAAATGCAAAGTTTACCAACTGCTCCAACCACTTTTTTGCATATCTCTTTCAAAATAAAAGATGATGCATTCTATATCATGTGAACTGATACAATACCACTTGACCACATGTATATGCAGTAACAAAGGGACCAGACCTCATTCTTAATTACAATCATTTTTAAATCAAATTTTAGAAAAAATTATCACTGTATGGTAAGGTACTGCAAATCCCTTTGATAAACAATTCCAGCACATATAACTAGCACAGTGATTACTACGCTCATTCACGTACATTAACCAGAAATGCACTGTTTCAACAAATCTCATAGTGCTCTCTCACAAATATACATCCTCTCTGACATCTATTAAAAACCTTCGATTACGAAGCAGTTCTATGCAAGATTAAGTTTCTGACAAAAAATTTCAGTTCATTGCTAACTCGCTTCACATAATTAAACTCAAACAATTACTTTGAAACCAACAAAAACTTTTTTCATTTGTCTTCCCCAGAACATCTGAAGTCTCTTAGTGAAGGACAAAAAAGAACTTTCATTTCCGAACACAAATTTTGTACATGCAAAAAACCGAATAATTATAATCACATATCTGTACTTGCTGAAAAACATTTCCACAGATAAAATGTTAGCCTCATTTCATACGATGCAGTAAGTCAAGAATACATCATCATTAGTCTTTTAAACTTACAACAAATAGTGACAAGGTTCGAGAGAGCATGAACACAATTTGTCATTTTTTGCATCACGTTCTACAAACTACAACTCATGATTATTCTATTTTTATTATGGCATTTTCATTAAAAAGCAACAGAACACTAGTAAATCCACAAAACTATCAGAAGAATAGGAAGGCCTAAGTGTAAAACTGATAATCAGCATGATAGCATATTCTATAGACTGATACAGTGCAACTAATGTAACTCTGTAACATTGACACAACATATAATACAACCTATACTACAACGTTCAAATGTGTTTTAATGCAAGAAAAACAATATTTGAGAGATATTTCACTTCAAACATACATCAAAAATATTTAAAGACTGAGTAGAAATAGTATTCGATAATAGCAGTAACGGACAATTGAAATAACGAAGAGTTATTGCACAGCACCGGTAAGAATTTTCTGAAACATTTCAAATATCGCGCTCATAAATTATCGAATGTTTCTGACATCAAACTTTGCACAACCACAGAAATTCTATCCGCTGGTTCACATTCCCGAGCCATATCAATAACATTCAGTAATTTCTTGATTCCAATGAAGTAACTGCAAAGTTGGATACAGAAATCACGATCTTAATTCTATAGATTTGAGCAACAGTAAAACTTCAGAAAAAAAATTGTCCTCACTCTTTGGCAGATCGAGAAAGTTCAGCTTGAATGTCCTCACACTCTTGACGAGAAAGAGCATTTGTATCCTCAATAACGGCCATAATATGCTTAACAGTAGTTAATACAGGTACATCTATTACCGTGCTAAATGCCGATAACAAGCCAAGTTCACGTAAAAATGAACGATTACTTGATGTAGCGATAACAAGTAAACGCCTATTCTGAAATACAAATAAGAAAAGTTAGTCAGCAACTATTAATTTGAAAGAAATAGTTATTATGTTTCAGAGAAGACTGAATCCCGTTATTGAAAAAAAAATAATGAGTAGGTAAGAATTAACTTCATGATACTTGAAGTGATGAAACTTTAAGTAACAAAAACCCAGAGAACTTTCAAAATCGTTTTAAGAATTACTAATATATTCCATCAGCAGGTACGATAGTACTCGACTTAAAATCTAAAAAATCAAACGTTTTTAAAAACGATAGCATACCTGAGGCGGCAGTTTCTTAACTAAAAGAAACAATGCTTGTAACACTAGATTTGAATATCGTGGACCAATTGGTGAAAAATCTGAAAAAATTGCATTAAAGCGACACTAAATCAAAATTTACATATTTTTCACCTTCACAGTTTTGAAATTTCTAACAAGAAATTATACAAACCTAATAACCGTTCTACACCATCAACAATAACACAACTTAAAGGAGAGCGATATGCATCATCGAAAACTTTTCGTAAAGAAGCACACTTTGCTGTTTCTGTATAACCAACCATATCTTCAGCACTAATCACTTTTATAAATGGATAATCAGAAGCTTTCGCAATTGTTGCCGCTAAACATGTTTTACCACAGTTCGGTGAACCTAAAAACTAAAGAAAACATGATTTGAAAAAAAAAATCTTATAAATGACTATTTAGTTGATCTCTCTTCAGTTACAGCAAACTATATAGAAAACCCCTTAGAGACTTCAAGTTGTGATTATATGAAAACGCTAAATGCTTGAAAAAACTTACAAATCAGTCAAGGAATAAAAAGGCTAATAACTCATCAATAATATCAGCAATTAATTTCAAAAATAACTAGTGATTTACAGATATACTTTTGATTTGTGACAACTTAATCTCATAATTATTTCTATTTCTTTTCTTCATAAAACTAATAATTCACTCACTAAATGAGAACTGCAGTAAGAGGGATAGTAGAGCCTCAGTAATTTCAAATGGAATTGTTGAGATTTTAGAAGAATGAGTTATCATGCTCAATTCATCAGTTATGCTTATTTCAAAGACACGAAAAAATTCTGACCTGCCAGTAGAACAGAAGCAAATCCTCTAGTATCAGGACTTCGTACTTGTTTTACGAGCAAAGCACCTTGTTCGAGTATTTGCGTGATTTGTACACTCCATGAAATGAATCCACCAATCAAGTATTTTTCTAATTCTTCATCAGAATGACCAAAAGCCTCAAATAAAAGAAAATATATAGTCCAGTTCGACTTAAAAATCTTATAGCTAATTACAGCCAATTAATCTATTCATGAACAAGACAACCAACCGGTTTGACATCATTTTCAAGAGCATAATTGAAATCATCAACATTGATCATCAATTTTTCTACGGCATCGGCATCTAACTGAACCTTGCCACCTGCCTAAACTTATTAAGATGTTTTAAATTAATAGTTTATGATATACAAGTACTAGTAAGATCAATGCAGTGATGTCATTAGTATTCATATCGTAAGATCAATGCATTAAAAACCACAGGGTGCTTATTGCTGAAGAAGCCATTGTTTTCTTTGAAAAAATCTCCTTTTCAAACGTAAACGCTTTTGAAATTTAATAGCAAAACTGATGACCGAGATCTTTACTTACATCAAATATAAGTGGATTACCTTAACTAGTCTATTCATTGCGCTTGACTGCGCAGCTCGTACTAACCCCTCCAGTTCAGCACCAGAAAAATTTTTGGTTCTTTTAGCAAGATCAATCAGATCAACATTGGAATCCAATTTATCATATTCTCTAAATCTTTCTTAAATACAAAAATTTTTTGGTTATTTCCAAGACATTCTACATAAATTAAAGATAACCACTAACTTTAAAAAAAAATCATGACACAAGTATGGAACTTTAATTCATATAAGCCAAAATTTTATCAATTTGCAGATATTATTTGTGAGGGTCATAAATTTTATAGATATTCCTCATATAAAATAAAAAACTTAATGCTTCATATAAAGCAACAAATTGATTTCTTAGTGAAACAGAAAGCAGACAGTTATTAAATCCAATATTTAAGCATTGTAGATAATTAGGCTTTCTGATTTAATAAAGTTCCCAAAATCAGTTACAAAAATGTAAGAAAATTTTGTAGTCAACAGAGTTACCGCATTCTAGAAGTGTGAATCTTTAAAATCTGCAAACGACCGCTTTCATCTGGTAGTGAAATTTCCATCTGCACTTCCATACGACCTGGTCGTAACAACGCCTCATCAATCATATCCTTTCTATTAGTCATTCCAATAACAAGAATGTTATTCAGCTGTTCAACACCATCCATCTTAGCTAAGAGTTGGTTTACCACTGTATCATGCACAGCCGTAGATCCAGCCTATAAACTGAGTATATTTATAGATTATTCTTGACTATACTTGAATTTAATTACGTTACTGGGTTCTAGGACAATTGTAAGATGCAAAAAAAGAAGTTTCATATCTGAACGCTATGTCAATGTAAAAACTTCGTACTAAGCAAGTAAGTTCAAATAAAAATAAACAGTGTTTACCACTGAGCCACGCTGTTTGCAAATAGCATCAATCTCATCAAATATTATGATATGCAATCCTGAATTAGCGCCACACCTTTTCCACTCTTCTTCGGCATCAGCGAATAATTTCCGGATATTTGATTCTGACTCCCCGACGTACCTGCAGAATGGGAAATTTATTGCTGTTGGTTAGTCAAGTTTAACTTTACTAATTCTCTCTCACTGATATGTCTTTAAGAATTCCTTTGATGATGTGAATCAATCAGATACCTGATATTTTTTGCAGCATAAATCTTTATTTTAATAACTCAAAAATAAACTTTACTTGTCTAATATTTGGGGTCCATTGATGATTTTGGGTTCACGTGCATTCAACATTTTGCCTATTTGACGGGCCATTAAAGTTTTACCCGTTCCCGGTGGTCCGTAGAGCAGAATACCCCTAACATGTTTCATACCTGAAACTACTCAATTTCAATGAAGAATAAAATATTAAGAAAACAATGAAATGAATTATAAATATGAGCGAGCAAAATGAAATAAAAACAGTGTATTCATGCTAACCTAACTGCTCAATAAATTCGGGTGGAAAAACCCGTGAAGCAAAAGCTCGTCGAAAAATGCCAGAAAATTCTTTATCCAAACCACCAATACCCATTTTTTGAAAATCCCAGTCTGGATTGATAATAGAACGATATGCTGATTTCCTATCAAACGTAATATTTTCGACAAGAACTTTAAAAAATGAGTAATTTCAATTGTTATTCAATTTTCAAACTCTCAGTACCCTTTACTTTTTCCTACGAGATTTAGAAATGATCCTTCTGCTTTATCGAAAACAATGATGGAATTTGGCATAAGCTGTCCTGCATCAATCTGCAATATAACAAAATTAATCATTTCATATGGCGGATGGAATGATTAATACAATGTATGAATAATGAAATTGAAATAATTTGAAATTATAATTATTTTTTCAAGTACTCAAAAACAAAATATGCAATTTTTAACCTCAGTAGGTTTTGAGAGAGCAACATCATGCGGATTTCCATCATATGATAAATTGATACCTGGAGTTAGTATACAGAAATGACTGCTATCAAGTTTAGAAAATTTAGAAAGTTAACAAAACTAATAAATGCTGCCACCGGCAGTGAATACAATTTATTCACATAATGAAAGTAAATACTGATATTTCAAACTTTCGATACCTAAAATCTAGAGGTATGAATGAAAATACTATGCAGATATTGAAACAATTTTTTCTATTAATTAGTCGTTCATAGAATACGATAATGAAGTCTCAAAAATTTTTTAAACTAGTCATTTTTTTAACATACAATAATAACTGAATCAGCTTCGGTACTAGATAAGAAAAATGGTACTTCAAATTCGTACCCAATATTGATGTCACCGTTAAAGACAAAGTGTATGACTTTCCTTTGTCATCATCAAACTTAAACACCAACAGTTCACCCCGGGTAAATGCGTGACCAGCAAACTGAATAGAAAATTCACGAGCCATGTGATCTGTATTCAATGGATCAGATGTTTGACTGCAATAACAGATAATTTAAGTAATCTGCCTGAAATCTAACTTCTTGAAAAATTTGCTATCAAACAATAACAACTAAAAATTGCTGTAATTTTGATTATGTTAAATTCATAAAAATGAAAATACATTAAAAATCTCATATGAATGGAAAAAGTCCACAAACCCCTTTTTTGATTGGAAATCAGTAGCAACAGTAATTGAACCAATAAATTGATTGTTATCAAAACTGAAAGGTTGTACTTCAACCTCTTGATCTAAGGACAACTTTGCCCATTTACGTTGAGGCATTGCAAAAGCTACTTCATCAGCTTTTAAAGATGGATAATTTCGAACAGAAAATACAAAATGGTGAGCTGGACCAGTCTTTACCAACAAGTGCCTGAACAAAAACAGGATTAAAATTAGATAGATATGAATGACTACCAATTTTTGTTTATTTTCTCTGCAAATGGTTTTTTTTTCTAATATTCACTAGCTTTTGAAGTAATTTAATGCGCAATTTTCTTAAGTAGTAACTAATCAAAAAGAGAATTACTTACCTTACAGTTGTCATATTTAACATCTTAGTATTTATTACAGCACAATTAGTCAGTGCTAACTCATCTGTTGGACATTTTCGAACGCGAACTTTGAGAGTCATAATTCTGAAATAATTTAGTATAAAAAATTATGAGTATTGATTTCCATTAATATAATAAAAAAGCGACAAAGTTAGGTCCTACTACTAATATTAACTGTATTATTAACTGATGAAATAAACAGAGTTAAATAAAATGTAACTTAAATGAAAAAATATATTACGAATAATTGTTAAGACGAAAAAAATGAATTTACAGACCGAAGAGTGATACATTTTTATAATATACATTCCTAAAACCTAAAAGAACGAATAAACACATTTGAAAATCATTCCCAATGAACTACGCAACTATTAAATTAGCGCGACGACTTGTTACGGTTCAGGAGTGAGTAGCCAAAACTTCTATTATTGGTAAGTAAACAAAATTGATATTATCTATTGCTAGTGAAGTGAGTACCGATGACTATGTCTTATTTTATTTTCATTTCACACTGATTGTTTACATCATCAGTTTTTTTTCAGTAGCTCGAGACCGATTTTGTCTCTACAAAAATCATCACAAAGCTTCTTTTATGGCATATAATACAATATAATATAATATAATATAATATAATATAATATAATATAAT